CTCTACTTGAAAACGGACGTCCTACTGCTGGCCGACGTGTTCGCGACTTTCAGAAAAACGTGTTTGAAACAGTATCAACTCGACCCCACGTGGTACTACACCAGCCCCGGTCTGTCGGTGGGATGCGCTCTAGAAGAAAAACGGAGTTCAATTGGAATTGTTAATGGATTACGACATGCATCTGTTTATCGAGAAAGGCGGATGCGTGCCGGGTCGTGATGGTCGCCAAAGCCAGTAATAAATATGTGAAAGGCTACGATTCGAACAAACCTACCAATCATCTCCTCAATCTCGGCCAACAACCTGTATGGCTGGGCGATGTGTCAGTATCTACCCACCGGGGTTCGAGTGGGTGGATAACAACTATTTTAACCCGAAGAACATTATGACCATCCCGAAAACTTTGAGATGGGCTACGATTCGAAGTGGATTTGGACTATCCCGCGGAACTCCACGCTGCTCACAACATCTCTCCGCTGGCTCCCGAACGGTTAAAAGTGGACCAAGACTGGATGTCTGACTATCAGCGGGACTGGTTGGACACTTCGACAAAACCAGTTCAGGTGGAAAAACCTGTGCCCAACTTGATGAATAAAACCAAGTACATCGTCCATAAATAGGAATCTGCAACTGTACTTATTGCTGGGCATGAAGCTGAAAAAATACACCGGGTGCTCAAATTTAATCAAAGTCCGTGGATGGAACTCTACATTCCATTGAACACCGAGCTGAGAAAACAAGCCACGAGCGAATTTGAGAAAAATCTCTATAAATTGATGAATAATTAGGTGTTTGACAAAGCGATGTGACATCCATGTGAAATTAGTGCGATCCAATGAAGAAGAAAAACTGAGAAAACTGATAGCCAGCCCGGACTTCAACAGAAGCAAGCTATTTGATAACGACTTGGCGGCTCTACATATGAACAAAAAGCCACATCAGGCTCAATCGCCTGGTTTATGTGGGGATGAGCATCCTCCATGACTTTTATTATAATAAACTTAAGACGCAATACGGCGATCGATGCCAGGTGTTGTATACCGACACCTACTCGTTGCTCTTACAAATTCGTACCGAGGGCATTTAGAGGACATGGCAAAAAATATAGATTTGTACGATACGAGCGATTATCCATCAGACCACGCCCTATACAGTACGGGCAATAAAAAAGTCCGAGGCAAAATGAAGGATGAATGGGTAGACCCACAACGAAATACGTTGGGTCAAGACCTAAAATGTATTCAATCCTGAAAGCCGATGACGGGGAAATCCGAAAGGCTAAAGGGGTGAAAAAATTTGTTGTGCCACGGGCAAATCCAACACACCCTCTTTAAACAGGCTTTCTTCGATAAACGAACGTTCAAACACCAGATGCATATACTCAGAAGTCACCAACATAAAATCTACGGGATCACCCTGAATAAAATGTTCTTGTCACCCCTGGATACGAAATGGATTGCTCGTAATGGGGTGACGACTTACTCGTACGGGCACTGTAATAATTAAGTAAAAAAAATATCCTAAGTACATAAAATCATGGAAAAACTCTATTACTGCCCACACGGGTACTGGAAAGGCGCCAAAGCCGTGAGAGTCTCCAAAGCTTGGCTTGAAAAACAAGCTCTCTGGCAAATCTACTTGCCAGCGCCCCGATACATCCCGAGACGATACATGTCACCAATCGCTACAAGGAGGCCGAGCCCTTGACGACCAAAGATTCGTGGCCAAGGCACTGGAACTTATCGACAAACGCAGTTGCTTGACCTAGCCTGCCGAATTACAAGTCGATCCCGGACGCGAGTTTATGGGCGCCGTGTCACAGCTGCTGGTCAAGTAGGACGTCCAAGTTCGACGAGGCGTGGCCGGAGCTCACCGTAGCCAAGCCATCGTCGAGAGGTTCAACCGCACCTTGGCCGAGCGTTTGTTCGGGCACCAGTACGCCCAAGAAATGGTGACACCCGAAAAACGAACGATCGAATGGATTGAACGCTTGCCTCGAGTGGTGGCGGCCATCAACAACAAAGTCATCAGACTCCTCGACAAGAGACCCGTTGAAGCAATTAAAATGAAATCCGTCACGGCTGAATCACTACTGTCCAAGGGTTAAAACTTGAAAACACACTATCGAGTCGGATCAGCGTGAGGTATTTGTATCAGCTGGGTGAACTCAAGATGGGCAGCACAAAACGTGCCACGGACCCCATATGGTCTATATCGACTGAGTGGACATCAAAAACATTTTTATTACTTAAACGACGGACCACCAAGAGGATTCGTCCGAGAGGAATTACCAATTGTTCCCCGTGACATGGTATTACCACCTTATTAAACATTTGTATATTTCGTATATTTATATATCACGCGGAGATTGATCGAGAAATGGTTGTTCAGGTGAGTTGGGGTGGACGTCAATGGACTCGATATTTACTCAGCCCTACGTCGAGTAATAAGTCGAGGGAAATTCACCACCCTGTACGATAGTTTAGGTCTCGTGGGTACCGAACGGTTACGTCTCATGGATACTTTAGTCGATTATAGCCCCGAAACCCGAGATCGCATCGCCCCGTACTCGACCTACTCCTTAGCCTACTTCGAGGAATTTATGACAGATCCCATCCATAAAGTCATCACTCGATATTACGGCTACATTTAAAAAATAAATAAATAAATAAAATAGCAAAAAGGCCCCCTGTGGCCACAACCCACGGAGGGAGAAATATTGTTTGTTGGTGCGCTGGTGTTTTCCCATGGGGTTGTGGTGGACTGCGCTCTCTATTTGACCTTTGAGAGCTCCTGTGTGTTTTTCTGTACCAAAGTGTTTCAGTGGTGAATGGTAGGCTTCGAACCTCGGTAACAGAGCTGCACAACTCTGCATCTTGATCATACCCAGCAGTCATCCGACTGAGCCACAGATGACCTGAGAGCTAAGATTTCGGTTTAACGGTCTATCCTGAGAATTGCATCATCATCCTTAGCTGGGCTCCGTCTACAGTAGCGCAAAGAGAGTCTAGCGCAGAGGAAGTCTGGAACAAGTTTATCACAAATTCCACTTCCGGTTCTCGCTTCGAAAACGTTGGGAGGCTTTTTACCTCAAATCAAGGTCTAATAAAATACAAACACGATCCTCCCAGAGAGTTTGAAACACGCTGAACACAATTCACGCGACGGTGGACGCTGTACACAGTTTTAGAAGCCACAATGCAGTAGTTTACAATTGCATCAGCTTGGGTAATATATATAGCCTTAATGCACCGTTACCATTAGAGCTAGTCTGCTGGTGTAGAGGAAACATGAGGGACTTCAGAATATGAGTTTTGGTGTTCGAATCCCTCACGTGACTCTGATTTTTTTATTCATGATAAACACCAGTTCATCATAGAAGCCTTCAGTTTTCCACAAAAAATTAAGACTTACAGATGGAAAACCAACATGCGCACAAAACATTAAACATCATTATTTTCATAAGCTGCTGGGCTGGAATTACATTCTAATTAACCTTCCAAGGCAATTGCGGCCAGAGCCTAAGTGTCATACTACTAAGAGTGCAAACTCAATCCACTGATTAGGGCTGGGATTTCTGTTTCAGATGTATTGATTTTTATTTTCCTATTTTGGTGATTTTTGTTCTGTTTTGGTGTATATGAGTTGATTATTTGTTTACCATTTGTATGGTAGGTCTGGCTTACTGCGCTCACTCCAGCATTACTAGTGTTAGTATTATCAGTAACGCAGTGTAAATCTTCAGTCTTTTAACAACAAGTAATGGGGGCATCGCCCCAGGCTTACTTGTTCTCATGTTAGTGGAGGGGCCAGTAATGGGCAGTCAAGATCGGCCTGGCTTACTGCGCTCACTCCAGTTTTAGTATGTTTTTTATAGCATGTATCAGTGCTGGTGTCTACGAGCTGTAGTAGTGGTCTTAATATGTAGAAGTGAGCTCAGCTCACATACCCCCGCTTCCCACTTTGGGACATGGAAATGACTGATATTGATATATATAATGTGACAAGGATCAGCAGCTCACAAGACTTTCACCTTGACTCTACTAAACTTAATAAAACATAATTCTGAAAATAATTTAAAATAGCAAAAGGCACATGAATGGAAAGTGATTAACATGTGTGTGAAGTTTGGTGAACCTAGCATGTAAACTTTAAGAGATATGCTCCGGACAAAGTTTCGGGAACACATTTGGCACTAAGTCGTGTTTCCATGGAAACAGCAAAAAAAATTAAAAAATTCTGAAAAATAATTAACATAGCAAAAGGCACATCTATGGGTAATGATTAACATGTGTGTGAAGTTTGGTGAACCTAGCAAGTAAACTTTAAGAGATATGCTCCGGACAAAACCATCAAACACATTTGGCACTAAGTCGTGTTTCCATGGAAACAGCAATAAAACAAAATTCTGGAAAAAATTTACAATAGCAAAAGGCACATCAATGGGTAGTGATTAACGTGTGTGAAGTTTGGTGAACCTAGCATGTAAACTTTAAGAGATATGCTCCGGACAAAGTTTCGGGACGGACAGACAGAATGAACGCTATATACCCCTGTTACTTCGTAGCGGGGGTATAATAAGTAATGGGGGCATCGCCCCCTGGCTTATTTATTATGGGGTTAGTGGATGGGCCAGTAATGGGCAGGTTACTCGGCCTGTCTTACTGCGCTCACTCCATGGTACGCAATATTCATGTGTGTACTTCATTTTGTACATGTAAGTAGTTAACAATGTTATGCTATAAACCTCTAGCATGCATCGGGGTGCAATGGCTAGCATGTATAACAGCTACAGCTTCCGTCCAGTATAGATGATAGACGTTGCACCCCCCTTTTTGCCATATTAATAAAAGTTTATTGCCTAACTTCTTAGTTATTTTTGCGGACATAAATGGTAGGGGATAATAATGGCCACTGACTCAAGAGAATGTTGTATTATCCAGAACAGTACATCATTCACTTAAATGTTTACATGTAAATAAAAGAAAAGCCATACAAACCTTTTCAATCAATTCAACACATTTGCTGTTGTCTGTGAATGTGATGTGAGAAAACTCTATGTCTTCTTCTCTATACTGGAAGTAATGAAAACATATTAAGTGACAGTGAAATTCTCAAGAAAGATTTATTACTTTCTAACGTCTCCTGTTTTTTGTTTGTTGCTTTAAGCATCACTCAGCAATATTCCAGCTATAGGTTGACAGTCTGTAAATAATCAAGTCTGGACCAGACAATCCATGGATCTACTCAATTGGGATACAATGACCTGATGCTGTTAGTCCACGCTAACAACAAACATGGGTTGTTGAATTCTAACCCGGATCTTCACGGGTAGCTTTTGTACTCAGTTGTGGGTATCTACTTTCTGACGAATGACAAGAATCTTTTAGAGCAAAAAAATATTTGCATTTATCCTGACTAATACTAAAGTACTGTCGGAAATAGACAAAAAATGTTTTTAGGCTGTTACTCTGCATCCCTAAAATTTACACTATTGCAAATAGCATACATCGAAATAACCCACATCGGCCTAACTGGGCGTTCAGTGGGATGCGTAATAGGATATCCAGAAAAGCATGTAAAAATCGGGCAAAACATAGAAAATTACAAATAGCTGCTGAAAACAATAGATAAGACTATAGATGGCAATTAGAGCGCTCAGCCAGGTATTACGACGGGCCATCGACTTACCTGACATGAAATGCACGTGCTGCCTACAGGCACAAGGGGTCATCTCAAAGATATTTTATGCTGTTTCATGTGTGTTGAACATGTCTATTGATTAACATCTTACATGTCTTTCTTTCATAAAGTTCATGTTGAGATATGTAAAAGAGAATGATACCCATAGAAAAGCTTAAATCAGCCTTCGTATTAAATGTCTCAAAATATATAGGTGGCATGACCACCCGAAGATCGACAGGACTAGATATTTTTTGCAAATTATTATGACATGCTGTTTTCTTCCACAGTTTAATTCCTCTAATGGATTATCTTACCTCCATCCCCCAGCCCGACCACAACCAACGTCTGCGACACCCGTCCTGGTTTTGCTTTTGCTTCTACCTGTTTCTTTTTATAGTGATAGTGAGACTCCATGGTAGCTATATCCTTAATAGTTTCAGTATTAAAGTTATTATTTTGTACGTCAGCTATCATGTATAATGAAGCTAAGTTTAATTTCAAAATGGGAATTAAAAAATTGTCCTTTGTAATACAATATCACCCCACACTAATTTGCATAAAGCCATGGTCTGTTCCAAATAAGGCGCTTTGGACTTAGAAAAGCCTCGCATTGCTCATTTCTGCACTAATCTCTCTTCACTAAAGTCCTTTCCTACATTTCCTATCTCCCTACCATTGAGACTGCAGTTAGGCCGAATTTAGTTTAACAGATATTTCATACTTTCACATGGTAACTACTTAAACTGTATAGATGCGAAAAAACAGGTTTTTTCTATTTCGGACAATACTTTAATTGCTTATCTCTTGATTTCTCCCAACATGCAGTGGAAACTTTACTGGAACACAACCTTTCCCTGCGCGCAGATACACCTGAAGCATGCAACCAAACCGCTTGACTAAAGTTATTATCTCCATTTTCCTACGTCTGAACCACTTCTTAGAGGAGAATGTTGAGACGGTTGGGTGGGTACGAGTCAGGATAAGAATACTCTACAAGCGAGTATTTGGGCATAATGCATAATTATTATACTTACCAGACAATACACAGCATCAGTTTAGTTAAATCCACTAAATTTGTTACACCATCATCTATTGTCAGATTCAAACAATGAATATGAGTCCAGCAGAGGATAAGGTAGAACATTGATTTGTTTGACCTTTCATGACGTTACACAGTGCTGTAAGTTTCCCTTCTTCAACCTTACAGACAGTACTGGAACAACAAAATAGTTGAACAAATTAAAGTCACTGGCATCAGGGGATGGTCAGGAATAGTAGGCTGAAGCTGTGATTCCGATCGACAAGGCAGTTAAGCCTGCTGATAAGCTCAAAGTCTTTCGTGGCTGGATGTCTGTAGAGTGTCACTTCAGCTAATACTTCTTCATCTTTGGTCAATTGTCTGTCAAGGAGGCTGGTGCAGTGGGCAAAGGAGCAGCCTTTCTAAGTAAGGCTAGGATATAACACTTCCTTTAACAGACTGCAAATGAAAGAAGATGGTCCATGTTACCAGTTGGTAACTGTTGGTTTTTCTCCAAAGTCTTGGCTTAGTTGCTATGTGAGGGATTCGATTAATGAAAAAAAAAAGTCAATCTGGACCAGGGCTTGCACATCAACTGGGTTTTATAGAAAGGATGCCATAACCACTGATCCAGCCAAACCAATGTGCAATAGACAACACTGGAGGTAAGTTGATATTTGAACAAGTTGATTCTGCCGCCAATCCAATACTGACAGAGGCTGTTGGTTAACAGATACAAATTCTTATCTGAACAATCCTTGATAGCCGCATTAGGATAAAGAAAATTATGAAGCAGGAAGTCAATGCGCCCAAGCGCATCTATGCACAGTGGTGTAGTGGTTAGCATGCTGGCCTCTCACGCCAAAGACCTGGGTCTCATACTGTGTTGTGTCCCTGGGCAAGGCACTTCGTCCACATTGCTCTCAGTCCACCCAGCTGTGTAAAGTGGGTACCTGAAAAGCGGATGTACGGACCTATACGGTCGCTTAGTAGCAGCTTGAAAGTACAATTCTGTCAGGGTAATAATGTAATGCCAGAGAACAGCATCGCGTTGGATTCTAGGCGCAAAATTAGCATTATTAATATGCGTCTATACAGACAGTGAGATCCAGCACTCTCTCATGGTGTCATGCCAGGACAATTCTTATTTCATGAACTGCTTTTCCACAAAATCAGTGTTGGCATTTCTGACTTACAGAGCATACAAATTAACATATTGTAAACAATTTGTTATTCTGAAGTCTATTATTCAATCTTCCATTGGATAAGCAGGCATTACTGGCCTTCCGGAAGTCCTGACACCTTTCTGTTCATATCACTGTTCTAAAATAGGGGTGCTTCATTAAGTTCCAGGAGTATGGTTTCACTGGAATGATGACAGTATCACTTGTTTCGTTTTCATTTCCTTCATCACATATTTCTTATTTTGACACATTTTGCACCATTGTCAGTTTGCACACCACATGATCTATTGTATTTGTCAAGTGGTTCACACACAACTGTAGCTGGTTTACAGAAAGACTTGTGCCGAAGCCATACTCGACCTAGATATTTTCTTGACAGTTCTGTTAATGGTTTAGCTGTATTGTCATAACATACATTCCATTCATTCATCCCTAGATATGTTGTTTGTGCTGAACAGTTCTTGGTTTCAGTTGAGATGTTGTTGGCAACACAAAATGTAAAAAATGTCCCATTAACATGTACGCATGAAATGCAATGGGCAGCCACTGTGTTGCTTGTTGGCTACTGCTTTCTCTATTAGAAGTAAAATCGTTACTCTGAGGATAGTGCAGGCTGGATGTCATGTATTTAATGTCCCATGATGAAGTGAATCACTTCAACTCTTCTGACAAATACTGTGGCACATCATCAGACATTATCTTGAAGTATTTGGGTGTCATGTAAAGATTTATTGGTGCTCTTTGTACTTGGAAATCCAATTTCCAAGCATCTATTTTAGTAATCTGCCATGTAATCACCTCCATGAAACTGACTTGCCATATGTTGGAAAGTTTTATCATGATTGCAGTGCCATAGAAGCATGTTCTATCCTTATATTTGCCACAATATGTGTTGTTGCCTGAAACTTTACTGGATCAATTACACTTGCATACACCACAAGCTTTTTGTGTACAGAAATATCTGTACTTTCATCTGTAAGAAGGCTTTCAATTGGGGATGAGAATAGTTTGTTATGAAGGTTCTTTCTTATTGATGATGCTAAAGTTTGTAACATGTCATTAGCTGTGGTTTCACTTGTATAGCTTGCAGTACCTTTCTACAATTTGTCCAAATGAGGACAACCAAGATCACAAAGGAGGTTTCATGCCTACAATTACTGCTTCTTCCTTTTCAAATAAAGCCTTGTTCACTGCCGATTCAAAACTGCCTCTTAAATTCTCTGCTTCGATTGATGATATGTGATCTGAAGATTTGGCATGTCTTTTGAGGGTACTGGTCCGATACATGTCTGTGCCATTTCCAGTAAACACATTATTTTTGTGATGGGTATACACACCATACATCGTGATTTGCCTCTTTGTCGAATGATAAAGCTGCAACCACGTATTTTGGAAAACATGTGGACGCGATACATCATCCTGGCATTTCTCATCAGACCCATCCCCTTTTCGGTTATCATTGTCGTGGTTTGTTGTTCTCCCTGTATTGTCATCAGACTAGGTTTTTCCTTTTTCACCAAGAAAGAAAGAATTTTCGATTGACATCGGCATTTGACAGCTACATGCAATAAGATTTGATCACTCAAAGATCAGATCTTCTCATAACACCCATTTGTAGGCGTCACACTGTCGTTTAAACAGCTTGAAAGTAATAGTTCTTGGTACTCAAAACAATAACAGCTCACTTCAGTGAGGGAAGGTAGCGCATTTTGTTACAGTTAAACTAGGCCTGCATTTTGAGTTTTGCTTCAGTGGATGCGTGAAAACAAACCTGTAATGCATTTCAGACTTATGGTTAATGTCTTGAGTGTGCCAACACATCCCGCCAGTACATTTAAAGTGCATCATATGAACTTTCAATGCACGAATGGCGTAAGGGCACGGGCCTAGAATGAACACTGCACCATGGGGATCGTCCACCAGCTTCCGACTATGGGTGATACTCGGCTTTTCTCCCCAAGCATTGCATCACAGCAGCCAAAGGGTACTGACTCGAGACCTAGACCTATGCCATTGTCTTTAGAGTCTGAAAGGCTCACGGCCGACTGGCTATGATACTCAGATTGTTCAATATGTCTCTGTAGACTTGAAAGTCTTGTTGCAAATTTCAAAATCTCGAAAGGACTGGTTCATGGAGGTATGAATATCCTTTTTTGAGAGAGAAAATTATGGTTGTAATGGCGGCGAG